AAAAAGTATATATAATACAAATTATAATGAAATAACTGAAGAAATAAATAAATTAATTCATAATGATTAATAAACAAATATGAACATTGTTCAAAAACATAAAACTCGATCAATGTGTTCTCATTTGTGGGCTAAAGGGGTTTCCAGAATGCTCAGAATATTAAATTCAAAGTTCAAGAAGGTAAACCTCGTAATCAAACTACATTTGATCAAGTTACAGTCAATCAAAGATCAACTCGGACTTGCCAGCTGGATTCCCAATAATTAGTAGTTAGTTAATCATCTAGTCAGTGCCTCAATGACTTCATTATAAAACTAGCAAAAAAGTTTAACCAGTTTAGTATATGTAAGCATATATGTACATTGATAACACCCAGATTTATTTTAATTTTCCTACACAAAAGAATTAACAAAAGGCTAGCATTTACATAACATTAATAATGAACATAGCTCAAGTACACGCTCAGCTCGACTTTTTGGACTTTTTGGCCAGCTTGTTGGCATCCCACCATTTGGCGTACCACTTGGCGCTGCGCTCAGCGCTGGTATCTGGATCATACAGCGGCACATAGTCCATGTGTATGGAGGCGCGCAGACGATTGTACATGAGCATTGATGAGGTATACGATGCAATGGCCCGTGGTGAGTAGCGTATGCGATATTTGGTATAGGGATAGGCCACACGCACGACAAACTCCCACAGCATGGCCAAGAAGAAGAACAGAAAGTGTGGCAAATACCACCAGCTAGTTTTGACCTTGAAGCGTTCGCCCAGCAGCGCCATCTTCTGCACAAAGCGTGAGACATCATTGATGCCCGTGTCGTCGGTGACGAATACAGGTAATCCATTCACCGCCTTGCTGGACACCTTGAGCGCCTTGTAGGCACAGATGTGTCCCCAGGCCACGTTGCCAGCATAAACCAGCTGTTGTTTGCCGCCGACGCCAGCAACGCGCGGAAAGACCCAATTGCGAGTGGACAAATAGTCAAAGATGGTGGTAATGAAATGTGGATCACATTCGCCATAAGTTAAAGGTGCGCGTATTGCAGTGGTGGCCAGATAATCTAAGTAAATTAAATATTAGTATATATGGATTAAAGTCGACTATATTGAGCTTACCCAGCTGATTCTGAAGCGGTGCTCCATTGGAATTGAGCACAATATTCTCTGCACGCAGTTTACTGGATGCATAGCCCGCAATTAGAAATTCGCTATCCTGTTCCCAGAGCTTAGAGCTGTCCAGCGTGGGCGTGTCCGTCTTGGACTCTGTAGAATTGATTACCGCCGAGAAGGTGCTGCGTCCCTTAAAGGGCACAAAGCACACCGATGTGCAGCTGCTGTAAATCAAGCGTTTCACGTTCTGCTGTATGCACAGATCCACCACAGTCCGAGTGCCTAGCAATACATATATTTAAGTATATTATTTTATGATCTACTATCCTTAAATGCAGTGACTAGCAAACCCACCATTTATATTCACACGTTCCAGTTCTTCATAGTTGGGCGGATATGATATATCAACCGCAGCAGCGCAATGGAAGACACTTTCAACTCCAGCAAAGATTTTGTTCAAACTCTCACGTTCTCCTCCAATATCGCCGACAAATGTACGTAGCATCGGCGTCTCCGGATGACCAATCTTATTACTGTATGGCACAATGTCTAGCGAGCGTATCTCCTTGATACCCAGTTCCTTGTGCTGCTCCAGCAATAGTTTGATAATATGTTGGCCCAGGAAGCCGCTTCCGCCCGTCACGAGCACCACTTCACCGTCGCTGCTGCCCATTGCGTCTAATGTCTCTAACTCGACCTCTTACTAGAAAATAATAAAACAAAGAAATGAAATTCCGTTAAGTAACCATGTGCTAAAAAGCACACTGTAGCCATAAAAATAAACGCAACAACTGAGTTGGTCAAGCGAGTGTCATAAAAAACGCTGCTTCAATTACCCAAGCATCGGGTCGCAGCGCATCAAAACAAGCCTTCATTCGCGCTCTCATAACTAAAGCAGATAGCCATGGTTCGGCAGAGACCTTCGTCCGGGGTCAGCAAAGCCGTTTTCAAATGACTTGGTGGTTTTTTATAGCGCATGGCTTACGTGCAGCTTTGTTATGTTAATAAAGACACGGCGCAGCTTTAACCAGATCAGCGATTCAAACCAGATGAAGCCAAACTTTTTTATAAAAAATAATTATTAAGAACCTTCCAATTAGCTATCGAAGTAAGCCACTGAGAGAACACCAATTATCGAAGGATTTCAATGAAGACAATGCGATTAATTATCGAGAGGGCGCCAGTTATTTAGACCCACACAATCGCACAAGGAGCACAGCTCTTGCCAAAGTATGATCTCTATGAAATTACCGTTACACCTTTAAAAATGAACATTAATGCATTTTTAACTACATATATACATATTTTCGCAATAGAAATATCATTGAAATTGCTGCTGTTTTGTCTTTGCTTCCTCTTTGTGTGTTACTTGGCCAGGGTCAACATTTTCAACACTTTTGGACCAACAGCAGCAGCGGCAGCGGCATCAGCAGCAGCTGAGCAAAAAGCTACAAATCAAAGAGTAGCTGCTGGACTTGACGCTGGGCTAGCTGTGATTACCACACAACAGAAACAACAACAACAAAATACGAACTAGCATCAAATAATTACAACGAACTGGTTTCCGCGTCTATTACCACATACATGCGTCAAATGGTTGCGCACAGTGACTGGGCTTTAGCACTTGGACTTTTGATTTTTAGTTGCTTTTAGCAACGTAAATTGCATTTTAGACATAGACCACTGCACTTTTAATTCTCGAAATTCCCATAAACACCGACCTGCACTTACCACGAAAAATTGTTTGTTTGTTTGTTTTGATCCGCCGTTTGCAACGGTTTGCTTTGCTTGCCGCCTTAAAACTGTTTGACGACTTGACAACGAACGGGCTGAGCTGTAAGCGATCTGACAGCGTTGCCACATGTCAAAACTTATGTCCATCGATAAGTAACACGAGAGCTCAGCGATCGTCAAAGTTTTCATCGGATTTCAAGCAAAACAGCGCGCAAATTTAAATAGTACACTTGTCAATTTGGTAAAATTCAATTTTTTATTCAACAACAATTAAATGAATATGGACATTAAATACGCTTAGAGATTATATAAATAAATTTCATCTTCCATACGAATCGTGTGAATTACACAGGCAAATTACAATATTCAGTAAGTACATTGGTAATTGTTTTCGTTGCATCCCCCTTCATATAGTATAGTATATATATTATAAATATATATATACATATAGTAATATAAAGTAAACGAGAAGTAAAAGGCCGTTGATACAAATGACTTTGGATTAGATTAGGCGCGCTTAAACATTAACAACACATACATATACATGGAATACAAAATGGTGTTTAGTATAATTAAAAATTCTGTTCACATTTTGGTTTGGTTTATTACAACATTATTCTGTAAATATATTTTAATGTTCATGTTCAGTTTCAAATCGTAAGGTTAATAATGTTAATGTATGTATGTATGCATGTTGTATATATATATAGATATCAATCTGTTAAGTACTAACTGACTTGAATTTTATATCATAGTATATATTTATATAGTATATCATTATAATATTAATGTACGCACTTCTGCCGCACAAACTATAAATAATCATTAATAATTATCTAACATTTCTTTTAGTTACATTATTGCATTTAGATGCATAAATTGGAGTGTGACATGAAGCAATGAAAACAAATTCTATACTAATCAATTGTCGCGCGATGAACAAYATATGAATGTTGATTGTGTGTTCATTAAACTAGTTAGGTGTATATATAACTCTTTATATATATATATATATCAGTATATATATAATAGGTATTACGGTATGCGGTCACAAAGAGCAACTCTTTAACTAACATTATTTACTTTAACTATTACAAGTACGTTTTCATTATAAGCTATTATTGTTGTTATATTGTTTATCCTTTTCAGCCAAACACATACATATATCCTTTCCACTCAGTACGATAAAGCTGATGGCGAACGCGAACCAACTGTAAAATCTTTGTACACTGAAAACACGGATATCTGCAAAAGTGCAAAAGCAAAATCAAATATTAAAAATAGTTCATAAATCATTTCTATGAATTTTTACACCCTATTCATATATAAAAGCATTTACAAATATATATACATATATATAAATAAATATGTATTTTGTGTGTATCTTAATTGGCAACTTGCGTCACAGTCAAGAACTGCATCATGATGATGGCGAACTGCCAAATAGCCAAATTAAACTTGGCATCTACAATTGGCAGCCGAAATTGGAAACTGTTTTAGGTTTATGCTCCAATTAGAGAAGGGACAGGGAATGGAGGAAACAGTATTTACCTTGTCTTTCAGCTGCTGACACAGTTTCTGGCCATTCATCAGCAGAAGGAGTACATCATTGAGCCATTGAACACCGATTTCCGCTTGGCGAGAATCAAATTGCATTGTCCCTTGATTGTTTAACAGCTGATAGACGGCTATGATCAGCTTGTGGCTCTGCAGATAGAAGCTAACGGCCAAATCTTCGGGCAGGTTAGGCACAAGTGATTTCATATTGCGTCCCTTGATTAGCTCCTCAATTGGCTTCTTCTTCGGCACTAGCAAACTGTTGCGTCCACGCTGCAGCGCATCTAAAATGTTGCCTATCACATGAAGCACTTCATCCGAGGTTCTGCATGTGTACAATCATTAAATTATAAATATAGAAATTCAAAGTAAACACCAAACAGTCTCACTTGAAGTGATAAGAGTCATCAACGTCGTCAATGTGATTGATTGCTGTTTGCAGATGATTAGCAGCATCCTGCACCTGCTGCAGCTTCCACGGCGAATCGTGTGTAATTGAGGTACGTTGCGTCTGACTGGGCGCCTTGCACAGCTTAAAGCTAATATCCTGTAAAAAACAAAGTGGAGGCTTAATTACTTTGTTTATACTCTTATTTATGTATGATTGGTGCTTACTGCCTGGGTTATCGCATCGCCCGTTAAGGTTAGCACCGCCTTCAGCTGATCGGGCGACACGCTGAGTATGAACTTTTCAGTCTTCTTGCCCTCGTTATCATACAGCGGCACAGGAAATCGATGGGCGCATTCCTTAATGATAAATAAATTATGATACACACATATATATAGATATGTATATTTATAACTGATTGTATTGCATAAGGATATTATAATAATAGCTTACCACAAGTATAGTTCGCAATTGCTTTAGTATCGCATGCACTTCTTGTCTCAGCACCCACTCGAATTCAATTTGCTGCATATATGTATGTACATATATATAAATATGTTTGTAATGCGGGTTTGTTGAGGGCGTGCGTATATGTGTGCGTGTGCGTGTGTATTTTGCGATAGCGGCGTCGTCGTCGTCGTCAGCCCAAAAACAAAGAACAATAGGGCACGTTTCATGTACAAATCAATAATATCGGCATTTCGGTGAGAGAAGAAAGGAAGAACATGAAATGAGACAAAACAATCAATAATCAATTAACTTAAAGCACATACACTTCACACTTGATTAATTACATTGCATTTTTGGCCGAATGGATTTTTAATTACACACACATACACTTGCACACATATTTGCACACATACATACCAAATTTAGAGCCTCCTCTCGCTCGGTGTCAACGACAAGCATTTTCATTGTGCTTTTGGCCTTCTTGCGGGCTGTTATGTATCTCCGTTTGGTTTTGTCAGCTAATGCTGCAGCACCACCGTTGTTAGCAGCAGCACCAACGCCAGCAATTTGCAACGAGAGCGCTGTAAATGTTATTGGATATGTTGAGTGTATATATATATTTAACAACTGCTGCTGTTCATGAATGAACAAACAAAAGCGAACGCATCTTTTGAAGCGATATTGCGATATGTTTGTGTCATTCAGTGTCATCGCTAGCAGACAAACAAATTTGAAAATTCGCAAGATTTTTGCATATTAATCAAAACATGCACTAATTCATTTTAAGTAATTGCCATTGATTTACTCACAATTATTGATTGAATTAACACTATTAAAAATGTAATTATATATCATAAACAAGTTTACGTTTGCAGCCCTGGCTAGCAAAAAATTTTCTATAATACCGTCTATCGACTTATCGCTAGGTATCAATAGCGAATGTGCGTTGACATGCGAATGTTGAACTTGCGCGCGTTAAATTCAAATTCAAGCAAAGCTTTAGTGTTGATAATACTTACGTTTTCGAAGAGGCGGAGGGGTGGTTAAGACAGCCGTCTCCGGCACCGAATTAAGCACATGGTGCTGGTAGTGCCCACTACGCTGTCGATGTAGCGGCTGGAATGACCAATTTGTTGTCGAGCTGCAAATTATTGAACAAAAAGATATGTTCACAAATAACACGTTGATATTTTTTTAAGCAATTTGTCACTACGATCGCACACAGAAAAATAACAAACACCTTATCATTATAGATTTGTGTTTGATTTCGATTTGATTCAGTGTGAAGTGCTAATTGCAATAATGCTATTGTTATTGTTATGGCTGTCGAATGAGTCATCCATCCATCCATCGGAGCAGCTGTTGACGCTATAGCGCCTGGTTTTTGGTTGCAAGCGAATCTCTCTCTCTTTCTACCCGTTTCGCTTGAATTACATGTAATGCGGGTTTCCCACAGCGCGCGTGTCAGCACTTTACTTAAAATATGGCATTGGCTTTTTAGCTACAATTACAAAATCGCTTATCAAGCTATGCTAAAAAGCTTGCTGACGCTTTGCACACAAACGCAAACACACACTCATACACATTCATATCCATATTCATATTCATATACATATGTATAGGTAAAAACACGCGCATAGTTTCTTTCAAATCCCAGCAGTTCTTTTTGTATTTTTCCTTTTATCAGAGTTCTTTTTGTTTTCGCCAATTTGATAAGCCAATGTCAAGAGAGAGAGAGAAAGAATGAAACCTATTTGAACGTTTATGTGGCCATAAATTTTATTGACACCAAAAAGTCGTCGGCGGCGTTTTTAACACATTCTTAAGCTACCCATAATGCCAAAATAAACAAGCACGTCTTTTATGATGTATACACACATGCATATAAATAAATAACGGTAAAAAAATTACCTCTGCGATTTATTATTATTATAAATATGAATTTTATTATCAATTGCAAACACTTTACTTAATATTATCACGAGACGAGACAAGACGAGACTCACGATCTTTAATTTTAATAATAATAATTTAAAAAAATGCTCAAAAACAAAAACACACACAGTCTGTTAGCGCGCGCGGTGAGTGAGTCGTGGGAGGAAGGGAGGTGGGGGGACGCGACGTACGATCGGACGTAGCTCAACACTGGCTGGCAGCTAACGGCAAGCGCACACAAAAGCCACAGCCAAGCAACTGAACCAACCCGACAGAGACCCAAGAAAAACGCCGCCAAGTCGAGCGGGCGAATTGGTCAATGGCAACGGCAGCAGGCAGCAAGCAGCAAGCAGCAGACAGCAACAGCAAACAACAGCAGCAGCAACGGCAGCAACAACAACAACAGCGACAGCAACAGCAGTAGCAGCAGCGCCGTTTGCGTCGAGGCCAACGTCAACGGCGAGCGCGCTTTTGTATGTAATGCTAACGTTAAATGCTAACGTTAACGTTAAAAAAAAAAATAACTCGACGAGCTTTTTGTTGTTGTTTTGTCGTCAGCTTTCTTTAGGTGCGCGCTCTTCGCTGATAGCCGCGTTTATCAGCCAACTGCGCGGTTGGCATTGACAGCATAGCATAACCATAAAACGTTTACCAAATTGCCTTTGTTTTGCTTTTGTTTTTGGTTTTTTATTTTACTTTTCATTTCTTTTCTTTTTTTTTTTTTTTGTTTTTGGTTTTGCATACACAGTTTTTGTTGCTTTTATTTTCTTTTTTTTTTCATATAAAAAAGTAGTACAAAAGTGTTTAATTCTATTAATTTGTGGATTTCAATTTAAATACGTGGATTTGTTTACGAGAGATGAAACAAGTGTGCAAATATAAACAAATAAACGTGTGCGCCCCACTGCCACCCTCAAACAGGTGGGCGGGCGCAGATGTATGTATGTGTTTGTGTCTGTGTGCCAGGGTGTGTATGTTCTTTGTGTGTGCATGTGTCAGTGTAATTGTGTCTGTGTGTGTATGTGTGTGTGTACTTGTGGATCTTGGGACTGCGTTTATTTACTCGCCGGTCATCATCTCCATGAATTCTGTAAGTTAAACAAAATGACAGACATTATTTAAACGAAAGCCAGATCTAGAAGTATTTATATATGAATACATGTATGTGTATGTATATATGGACATGGAAATAAAGTTTAATTAATGATCAGTTAAATAAACTAAATATAATTTTCGCCACTTTCTATCTTTATTTATCATCAATCTACAATCGAAGTATTTAAAAACGAATAAAAATATAAACACATATGTATAATGATCGACCCTTGTATACTCTTACCAAAAAATATATATATATAAAATATAAAAAAATACA